TAGTAAATTTCTAGATAAAAGCTAACTTTGCTGACATATTTGCTTGCACAATTCATAAAATGATTGAAGAAGTTTATGGTGTTAGGACGCAGGATAAGAACCATATCTTAGCGTGAACCGAAAATGTCACAATTCTTTCATTAAGATGTTAGAAAATCAAATTAGATCCAAATATAAATTAAATTTTAGGATCAACATCATGCTAAATTACTAGGATTCACAGATTCAGATAATATATCTGTATCCATTGTAAACGATTGCCTACTGTTGCGGAATTACTGTGACAATTGACTACGTACCGATGAATGCAAATGAAGATGGTGGCTTTTTGTGATCTTCCTCAACCAAATCTCCTTATTCCTCAATGGGACCGTGATTTCTCTTCTTGATGGGGAAAAGGGAAAAGAGTGTATGATTTGGTATATTGGGGACCATAACCAAAATAACCTTTATATACTACTTAATTAAGGTTCTCATTATCCCTTAATTAGAGTAATATTAGCGGGTATCTACTCACTTAGTCCATATTAATTTGAGTAGTCTATGGGCATACAAAAAAATAGACCACTTGATTTTTGCCCATTATATTAAATAACTAATATAATTGTATTAATATGTTGCCAATATTAATTTAGGAAAATCGTGTTTTTCTAACAATCTCCCACTTGGTTACATATTATTCCTTAAACAATTATATTACAAAACTCCTTAGGCGCGCATCTGTATGCTATTTATCATTAGACTGCTCCTTAAACAATCTTGTCCATCTCATATACTAATAATGGAACCACAACAACTTTCATCACAATACATTAGTGATTAAACCATGATGATCAACATATTAATACACTTAATGACATATATCAAATACGGATGAGTAGCATGGAAATTTACATGAAATGTGATCTCAAACATGCATATTTCCAACTGGTCCTTCTTTAGTCTTTAGTGAGATCATTCCAAAGTCCTTAATGCAATGCAAACATTGCACAATGAAAACACAAGCAAACTCAGAAATAGAATCATAGACCATCAACTTTATTCTACAGAAGGTTAAATAATTTAATGTCTAAAGCAAACATATATAACATAAAATTGACTCCCACTAGACTAGAATATTCTCGAAAATAACGCTCATGTGAACAGTGTGCTCATGAAAGACTTTCGGCGTTAAGCCCTTGGTTAGTGGGTCCGCTAGCATGGAATTTGTTCCCATATGTTCTATGGAAATCTGTTTATCTTGAACTCTCTCCTTAACAACTAGAAACTTGATATCGATGAATTTCGAATTTGTCGAACTCCTATTGTTGTTGGAGTAAAGCGCCGCTGAGTTATTGTCACAATAAATCTTTAATGGCCTGTCAATGCCATCTACCACTCGTAGTCCAGTGACAAAGTTTCGTAGCCATATTCCAGGGTTGGATGCCTCATAACAAGCAATGAACTCTGCAGCTATGGTTGAAGAAGTTATGAGAGTCTGTTTAGCAGACTTCCATGAGATAGCTCCTCCAGCCAACATAAAGACGTAGCCTGATGTGGAGCGTCTGCTATCTTGGCATCCCGCAAAATCGGAGTCAGAGAACCCGATGATCTCTAAACTATCTGATCTCCGATAAGTGAGCATGTAGTCTTTTGTTCTCCTCAAATAACGCATCACGCGTTTGGCTGCTTTCCAATGTTGCATGCCAGGATCACTCAAGTATCTACCCAAAACTCCCATTATAAATGCTATGTCGGGACGAGTACAAATTAGAGCGTAGATTAGACTCCCTACCACTGATGCATAGGGAATCTTCTGCATCTCTTCTCTTTCAAGATCATTATTGGGGCACTGTTTGAGACT